TAATCAATTTAAAATTATTTTCATTAACATATTATATTATCTAATTTTAATTTACTGTGTTATTTGTATTAGTTAACATATTATATAATTAGGAAATTGTTTTAATTATATTACAAAATGTTGTAATTGACTGATTTTTTTTAAGATGTTTTTTTTGGTTATTTTATATTTTTTTCTAGTTTATCAGTTAATTTTTGTCAAAAGTGATTTATTCATCAATTAGCTTATCAGTCAATATATTATATATAGACGACAAATCAAATGTAAACGTTCTAATATTACAAACTTGCCAACTAATATTTAAGAAAATTATGAAGGTTCATTTAGTATGATTTGAATATTTATGGAATATGATTAGAGTTTATTAAGTATAATCAACGCTTTATATTGTGAAACAATCAATATATTTATGAAACCAGATATTCTTTAAACTAGATAGACGTTGAGATTGGTTTGTATTTAATTGGGACTCTCTCTCTCTCTCTCTATATATATATATATATATGTATGTATATATAGGGTTAGATTTAGAGGAAAATAATAAAAAAAAAATAAGAAATGTCATAGTAACAATTTATACTAGTATGGTATGCACATGTAAATATAAATAATTTGTCCAGTATACACATGTGCATAACATGCACACATGCATTAAAACCTAATAAACATCTTCAATTACTTGTATGCACATATGCATACCGTAAATATAAATGGTTATGAGGAGGTTTCTTAATTTTTCATTATTTGGGTATTTTTCCCTCAACTGATATTCCAAATCATCGTTACTAATGAAATCAAAATGATCTCTGGATTGATCAAAAGGTCCTTTCAATTGGCTTTATTGTATATATGGGTGTTGTTTATGTATACTTTTCAAATCAAATCATACATTAAAAATGTAAAAATAAAATTAAATGATACATTGGAAATACGCTTCTCTTCTGATCAAATCAAATAGTTTTTCAGATGCCAACTCTCATTAGATTGTTTTATACGACTTTAGTTTATAGGACCAAATAATTGTGTGTCATATGTAAAAGTGGATAATTGTGTCCAGAAGTGCCTTATGAATACATTTTTATAAAACAATTGTTTTCATATAACACGTTTGTAAATATTGTCATATAAAACATTAATAAGACGATTTATTTTAATATGTACTTACAAACTTGTTGTACAAAATGTTACTCCTTCCGTCCCAAAAACAAGTGTTTATACCTCAAATTCTATTTTTAGTTTGTCCCAAAACAAATGTTTATGTTTAAAAGCAAGTGTTTATTTTCTAATTCTACCTTCCATTGATAAACTCATTACTCCGTCTTTATCAATGTCACTACAAAACAAATTAATTTTACCTAAAAAAATCACACAGGGAAATTTTCATTGGTGAATACCGACAGATCACGAAGAAAATACCAATGGTTCAGTAGAATCTGATGTTTTTCGAGAAAATACCAATGGATTATCCAAAGAATCTAGGGTAATCTGTCATTTATTTGAATTACTCATCAACTTTTATGACGGTTCTGTGACGAATCACCCTAAAGCGACAGATTCTCAGGGAATAGACCGTAGGCAAAAGTCTTTCATTTAGTAGTGTATTCTAAAAAGCTCGCCAAGATAGTCGTGATGCAATATAGCTCAAGGCTCGTGTCTGACATCACGTTAAGCCTATGACACGCCACGATCCTATGAGTAGTTTTTGTAACGCGATATTGATGAATCTTACCTTCTAGTGTCTTACTTTTTAGTTTATAGTATATAACCTAATTTAAATCGTTTAATATTGTTGACTATTAATTAATAGCCGAAAACATGTATATGTATATAGTTATATATATGATATACATATTTGCCACCATAATTCATACGTTAGAAATTGTGACCTCACCGTGGTTACTAAGGTTTGAGACTTGACATAAGCACCATGCCACTACCACGCACACCATTTAGAACTTTGATCTTTATTAAATTAAAATTGTTATTTAATTAAGTAAAAAATGAATAATTATATATACATAAAACTGTATGTCTTTTTCACTATGAACTTTAATTTTGGGACAAAAGAGAGTAAATAGTTCAAACTCGAAAAACCCCAAAATTTAAGTTGTATGCAAAAACCCAACAACCGCAATGCAAAAAAATGGATCATAAACTATATACGGTGTGTCTCGATAATAACATCAAGTAAATAACACAAAATGTAACGACATAAGCATAAAACATGCATCACGACCTTACAGTTGTGAGCATCGTCCGAACGAAACCCTAGATAATGCATCATATTCAATTATTAGAAAGTTAAAAAGTAATGCTTACTCGAACGACTACAACTGAGGAATGTAAGCAACTAAATCTACCTACTTCAGATTTAGAGGAGGGAGATCACCAATGGAATGAGTTTGATTTAAGTGTGTGTTTGATCACCGACATCAAACGAGCCCTACAATACAATTTATCCCATCGATCTGTCGCTTATGCTGCCTCACATACAAATTTTGCCTAGTTCCATTTTGCATGTATACGTCCTGCTCAGTCTGCATACAACGGTTACATACAAAGGTCGTGTAACTGCATCGCAGCTTCCTCAACTTGTACACAATCTCCACATACTACGTAAGGTCGTATGGGCAAGGTTGTATAATCTTCTTGAAGTTTTTAACGTCACAAAATTTCCAAAAGATTTTGGTGTTGGATTAGGTTTTGAAATGTCTTTACGCTTCATCTTTTATTATGGGATTGAATGTTTTGGACTGGGTCGATGTGAATTTATTTGGTATATTTCTTAGGCTTCAGGTGATTTAATGAGCAAAAGAGATGAGAATTTACGTCAAGTAATAGGGCTCTGTAAGCTCTTGTTTTTTTTTTTTTTTTGAAGGGTGTCCGGGCCAAAGCCCGACTAATCCCCGGCAATTTTGGAGGCAAAGCATGGCCCCACTTAAATGTCGCCAACACTCCCCTCCCAGGGCTCGAACTCGGGTTCATTACTATGCCATGCCCAAGCCGTTACCACTAGGCTGGAAGGTCTTTGACCTCTGTAAGCTCTTGTTTATAGTAGAGATGGCTAAATAAGGCCCGATCTGGTTCGGGACTGATCATATATGAGCTCGATCTAAAAAAATAAGTTTTTTTTTATAATTTATAATACAAGATTATCAAGATCTTCACAAAATTTTCAAGTCTCGTTTTTAGCTTTTTCAAAAATTTATCTACTTGAATATATTATTTAAAGTGCATTTCAATATTCAATTTCAAAAATCGTAATTATAAAAACAATATAACCTTTTTGTGTAAAAAAAATATTTAAAGAAAATATATTTTTTTTAAATTGGAACTACAACCGGAACTATTGATCGAGCCTAGATAGGTCTTAGGTTTTTGGTCGAGACCAAGACCAGCTGACCCAATTTTGTAGGGGCCAATTTGAGTCGGGCTCAACTTGAGACAAAATATAATGTGACTGGATTAGACATAACATAATAATTAGAGAAATAAACTTGGGCCATAGAAAATGGGCCCATTTTTTATTTTTATATTTTATAGGCCCATGTTTTGAGCTACTAG